CAACAACAGCTACATGAAATAAAAGAACATTTAAATACAGTCAGCTTAGGAATAAATAAACAGAATATGCTTTACTCGGCGGTGACAGCAAAAAATGTCAATCCTAAATTGAATGAGATTCAAAGTCCTCGTTCTCTCCCAAGAAATCCAGCTGTTCGGATACAAATACCCCCAACTGCACAACAACATCAGCAACATCCCTATTCATCATTAGGACCTCTTACTCATCAGCAACATCAGTCTCCATCAGCAATTCAACAAGAAAATCCTTTTTCAATTGTCTCGAAAAAGAAACGTCAAATTAAAAACATTAGAGGAACCAACAGCACTGGCATGTGTCCCAAATCAGCGGGGGAAATTGTTAAAAAAAGTTTACTTTGTAAGTAATCTTGCTGACACAGTCAATAATGAAACTTTGACAGAATACTTGAAAACAAATAAATTTAAAGTAATCAGTTGTTTTGAGGCAAAGTCTCATCTGGGAAAAGGCTTCAGAATATGTATTGACATCAATAATTCAGATAGCATTTTCACAGATTCTGCTCTCTGGGATGAGGACACAATCATTCGTGAGTGGGTCTTCAAACCAAATAATAATATTGACAAAAAGAATAAAAATGAAATTAACATTGATGGTAAAAATGAAATAACTTTAATAAATAAACAAAAACATGATGAATAACACACAAAGCAATAATAATATATCAGATAAACACCTCAGTAACAACGACTCAAATTATTACACTGTTGAGGAATTTTCTAAAAATATGTTAGAATTACAAAAGCATATCGGCAGTGATTTTATCTCAATATTACATTTAAATGCTCGTAGTCTGTTTCACAAATTATTGAATCTGGAGATCTTGTTGAAACAATTTGATTTTATCTTCAAAATTATTGTAATATCTGAGAGTTGGTTAAACGATGAAACGGCTGATTTAATTAAATTAAATAATTACAATTTCGTATACATGAATAGAAGAAATAGACGTGGAGACGGTGTTGGAATGTTTATAAAAGATGACGTAAAATATGTTGTAAATGAAAGCAACATATTCGATGATGACAACGTTGACATACTTTGCGTGGAATTTGAATTGCATCAAGCCTCACTACATAACATGATCAAGATAATTGCCATCTATCGACCACCTAGTTATAAATATGAGTCTTTTTTAGAAAAAATTGAATCGAGGTACATAAAGTGACAATTTATTAATGTGAAAAAAATGTGATTCCTTCTTCTTTCCGCAGTCTACTTCGAAGATCGACGGTGAAATCTTGCTAAGAATTTTAAACGGGCCAACTCTTATTCTGTCCATTTTACCTCTATTAAGTTTACTCCCATTCTGGATATAGACTTGATTGCCCACTTCAAATTTGTACTCTTGACGATTTTTGTCAACCCTTTTCTTGTTTATTTCAAAATTTTGCATAGAATTTCGACCGGCTTGTATTCTATCTGCAGCTAAATTGCTTCCGCAAATTGCATATGGAATGATAGTTGACTTTAAGCCGTATAATAAGTATTCAGGTTCAAATTTCGTGGAACTATGAATTGTCCGATTGTATTCTTTGACACATTCGTCTGCAACAACGGACCATGCCTGTTTTTTTCCACTGTTAAGTTTACATCTTATTCTGTTTACAAGTGTTTGGTTTAGTCTTTCATTTAGTCCATTTGATTGAGGGCAATCTACACAGGTAAAAACCATTTGAATATTCATCTTGTTTAGATACTGCTTTAGTTCTGTAGAATTAATTCCGGTGTACTGGTCGGCTAAAAGTATTTTAATATTATTTTTCTTAGCAATCGGATCAATTAACTTTATGAAATCTGCTGCGCATTGACTTTTTGTAGTGGAAATCCAAGCATATCTACTAAAATGATCTACCTAAATATGCATATATTTCTTTGGTGAAATATTACCGGCAAATCCACCAACTGTGTCAATGGACATAATTAGGAATGGTTCTGTCGCGGATCCTAGTTTTGACTTTAATCCGATGATTCTATTTCTTCTAGTTTTGTTCTCTAAGCATATAGTGCAACTTTTACAAAATTCTACAATTAGTTGATCAAAGTTTTTGAAATAATAAAATGGTCTTATTTTCTCTTTCAATGTTCCAGCTCCAATATGTCCATAATATTCATGTACCTTTTTTATTATTCTTAAACCAAATTTATCAGAAACAAATATCCTTGATTTGTCCTTCAATTTTTTGTAAATAATACCATGGCGTTTTTCAATCTTATTGGCACTCTAATTCAGTCATGTTATCATTTTGATCCTGAAGAATTTCAGGTCTTTCAATTAAATTTACAACTTGGACTGCATCCTCATTTTCAAAATATTCTAATACTGGTGATCGAGAAAGTAAATCAGCCATTATATTTTCCTTTCCTTTCTTATAAATAATTTTAAAGTTGAATTGAGACAAATAGTGCACTAAATCGCCCAATATTTCATCTGTTCTACTTTTTGTTTTTAGATTCTCAAGAGGTTTGTGGTCACTACAAACAACAAATTCACGACCAATCAAATAATATTGCCAGTATTTTATTGCGTCTTTGATAGCTTTGCATTCAAGATGGATGATGTCCATTTTCTTTTCTTTTTCTGATAATTTTCTTGAGAAGTATGCGACAGGATGTAACATACCATCAGGATGTAGTTGTTTCAAAGTAGCTCCCATTCCTTTATAACTGGCATCAGTTTCAATATAAGTGTCTTTGGCTTTATCGTAAATGGCTAAGATTGGCTGAGAACATAAATATTCTTTTATCAAGTTGAAAGAATCTTCACAATCTTGGGACCAATGAAACTTAACATTTTTTTTCAAGAGCTTCTGCAGTGGTCCAAATTTTTGAGCACTATGTTCGATGTATTTAAGGTAGAAGTTAATAGATCCTAACACACTTCTAACTCCTGTTTTATCTGTTGGTCTCTTAAGATTCTTGATGGCGATTAAATTTTTTTGAGCTGGTGCTACTTTATTTTCTTAAATAAAATGTCCAAGATATTTAATGGTTTTAGCAGCGAACTTACATTTTTCTAATTTTAATTTAAAACCTTCTTCTGTGATAATTTGTAGAGTCTCTTCAATATGAATAATGTGTTCTTCCCAAGAGCGTGAAAATATAAGTACGTCATCAATATAGTTAATGCAAAAATTGTCCAGATTATTTCTTCTTATGATATTGGATAGAATACGTTGAAAAATTGCTGGAGAATTTTTAAGACCAAAGGGTAAAACCTTAAACATGAATTTTCCATACTTAGTTATAAAAGAAGTCTTTTCTCTATCTTCCTTTTTTAATAATATACACCAAAATGCAGAATTTATATCAAGTACAGTCAAGTACTTTATCTATGACATCATTAATAGTAGAGAATGGATAGCATTCAGGAACTACTAATTTATTTAATCGTCTGAAATCAATGCAAAGTCTTGTCCGACGACCATCATCTTTTTTAAGAGCAAGAGTTACTGGCGAGGCATAAGGGGATTACGATTCTTCAATTAAATCAGCTTCTAATAACCTCTTGACTTGAGTCTTGATTTCACCTTCATCAACTATGGAACATTTATATGGTCTTGCTGTTACATATTCATCTCTGGTTAATTTTATTTCTGCTTCTTTCGACTTCACTTTTCCTACATCATATTTATCTTTTGCAAACATATGTTTGTACTTGTTTATTAAATTTAAAATATCTTTTCTTCTATTTTCATCTTCAATGTGGTCTAAATTTTCACACATTGTCTTATTCATATTTTCATTAAAATTTACTTCTGAAATTTTAATTAAATTATTTTTTTCTGCCTTTTGTAGATTAAATTGGTTGTCAGTCAGTTCATCTAATTTAACCATGTTGTGATTGTTATTCATCTTATCTCTTTCTTCTATTTTGATGATCTTGTTTTTATTAATTCTTTGTAGAATGTTAAAATTTCCATCTTGAATTAGTTTGAATATCAATAAAATAAAAGTCAACAATAACATAATCGATAATGCAGAAGAAATGTGTAACTGTTTCAATGAATATTTTATTCAGCAGTTAGAAATTACTGAAAATTTGCTTGAAAATCAAACAGTTAATGAATCTTCAAAAATAAACAAATACATTTGTGAATCCATATACATTAACTCCACTGATTAACTTGAGGTATTAACAGTCGTCAAGAATCTTAGCAATAAAAAAAAGCACCTCTGATGACTCATTAAGTAATTATCTCTTAAAACAAACCATCTCAGAAATTGTACAGTACATCCAATAACATATATATTCAATTTGTCCATCAGTCAAGGAATATTCCCAAAATGCTTCAAAACGTCCAAGATAATACCTATTCATAAAAAAGGATCCAAAATGGAAATGAACAATTACAGACCAATATCCCTTCTCTCACCTATTTCTAAAGTACTGGAAAAAATTATATTTATCAGAATAACTTCATTCTTGAATATTAATAATTTATTAAATAAAAATCAATATGGATATAGAGCACAACATTCAACTGAACTAGCAGTACTACATTTAGTACAAAACATATTAAATAATCTGAATAAAAAAATCCTAACCATAGGTGTTTTCATAGACCTGTCCAAGGCATTTGATGTTATTAATCATGAGATATTAATAAAAAAATTATACTCCTATGGAATAAGAGGAATAGCACATACATGGTTCATAAGCTATCTACGAAACAGAAATCAGTATGTGTCGATAAAAAATAAATCTTCAAATAAATTAAATATAACTTCAGGAGTCCCGCAAGGATCAATCTTAGGCCCACTTCTATTTATAATTTTTATGAATGATTTACATCTGGCTACTGACGCTCATCACCTTCTGTATGCAGATGATACTAACATTTTCTTCCCAACTAGCAATCCATCAAACGATGTAGAGATAATTAACAAAAGCTTAGATGATGTTTCAAATCGGTTCATCAATAATAAACTAATTGTAAATTTTTCTAAATGCAACTACATTCTATTTGGTCCAAAAATATTGACTAACACAATACCTAATTTAGATATAAAAATGAATAACCATAGCATCCCGCGTACATCCAGCACAAAATTTCTCGGAGTGATAATCAAGGACAACCTCTCGTGGGATATGCATATAGACTCGTTATCGAAAAAAATTAATAAAACCATAGGCGTAATTAATAAAATTAAAGTAAGATTGAATAAACCATTAATTATAGATTTGTATTATTCATTAATCTATCCACATCTAATATACTGCAACATCATCTGGGAAAACAGCCCTGAAGTTCACTTGAAGCAAATTACCAGATGTCAAAATCATTTCATCAAAATTCTATTAAATCTACATCCATATAGTCATGTCAGCTGTTATTATCCTGAACTGAAAATTTTAAACATAAAAAATTTGTATAATTATCATGTTTCTATCTTGGTGTTCAAGTTCCTATATTATCAATTACCAACATCTTTTAATGACTTCTTCGAATTCGGAAATGCTGTGCAGTCAAAGTTCACTCGACATTCTCCTCTGCTCTATACACCACCTGCAAGAATAACACTGCTTGGTGGAAGTTTAAAACATACCGGTCCCGGAATCTGGGAAAAACTTCCTGTTGATATAAAGACTACAAATTCTTTGCATTTGTTTAAAAACAAAATAAAGAAATATTTATTGA